AAAAAAAAACCTCACGACCTTCATTTACAGATAGCTGTGGAAAAACAATAGAAACAAAGGATTTTATTTCAACACAGATTGTATCGACACTTAAGGTTTTATTAAGTCTGAAAAAAGGCATGTATGCTTTAACATATCACTATGGCATGAAAATAAAGGAATTCTTTAAATGAGGGTCTTTGCTTTTAAGTCAACATGTACACAGTGTAGGTGTGTCCCTGTGAAGTCACATGTACATCCATCAGACGTCTAAGCCGTGGCATTGAATGTCCCGTGGAAGCCATAGGGGATGTTGACAGGTACCACCGCCCTGCCCAGCTCCTCGAATGTCTTGGCATCTAACACCAGAAGGAATGTACTCTTGTCCTGGAGAGAACAGAGACATGGGTAAAGAAATACTTGGTGTACAAGACAGTGTAGAAAACACAACGGCACGATGTCCAAGCTCGTGCTCAGCCATGTTTTACATTTGTATGAGGAAACTGTATCTATAAAGAGTACCCTGTCCAAAATGGCTGAGCCTGACTAACCTCGTCTGGAGTGATGACCACAGACATGATGACACCATCATCCTCCTCTGTAGCATTAGGAGAGGGAACAAAGACCGGCTCAGATGGATACTGACCAGGATGTTCCCACACCTGTGAGGGAACATTTACACACAATATCACATTCATGATGACAAAAGAAAAATCACAATAACAATGCTATCTCAATACCTGTGGGACAGTCCTCTCTAACTTTGTTTACTGTTTGTTAACTCCATATTACCCACAATTTTTATGGATTGTCTTCAGTCTTATACTAGTTATATACCAGGCGTCCCCTGAGGCCTGGTATATAACTAAGGCCTGTTGTTTTTCAATACAACATTATATAATTTCACAATGACACAAAAAGTTACTACATATACATACATACAGTAATATACTACACTAGATTTCTATATTACCAAGGCTGACATCAGCATAAAACACTTTAATATAACCCTTTCCCCTTTGGGGTGAGTTGCGCTCTCTGTGAATGAACTAAAATAGAAACAGATATAATTGTTTCTATCTGGAAACTGTTGATTTCAGTTGTGGGGGTTAATTTGTTCCACAGATTGGAAATGCGAGCTCTCTTTTCTTTGCTCCAATAAAACAACGTGCCTTCATGCGTTTTCCGTGGAGATCCATCTTAATCAGCGTGTCCCCTACAAGGTGTCTAAAGCCACAGCCATAGAAGTAGCGGTAGGGATGGGTGTTGAATTTGTGATAGTTGATCTGAGGAAACTCCAGACCTCCGTATTCATGGAGATCCTCCCCATGCAGGTCCTCATGAGTACAGAACACCTGCACAGGTTTAAAAAAACAAAAAAAGCAACACAGGTAATCACTGAGATT